TTGTTACTAGTAGCAATGGCCTCCACCCTAGTAGCGATGGCCTCCAAACCTAGTAGTAGGAGTATCTGAGGAAAATGTCTACAACCCCCGGTCATTTATGAGGAGACCCTCCAAAGATACAACGAAGAAACAACATGAACAACATACACACACAAAACACTCCCGCCCGAGCAAAGCCTGCAAATACATATGTGTTTCTGGAGATTGGAGGTGTTTCACAAAAGCTTGGTCCAAAAAACTCTGATGAGAATCTTGTCAGCAATGTTGGACATGCGCCGTGTTACCCTGCCTGGACCTGCTCCTTCTGGCCTTGGGCATGAGTGTTCCTGACGGGGAACCGGCAGTCGGGTGTTGGCAGAATAACCTCCTTCCCTCCAGTGGTTGTGGCTAAACTGACTGACATGATTTGGACCTTACGTTAACTTGGATTTGGTTTACTTAGGAACGGGGAAAACGCACACAATATTATATTAATGCAACCAGTTCGGGAAAATAGCAATCATCCTATTCAGAAAGCCAGGTTAAGCCATCCACTCTTTCTCGGCCCAAAACATGCAGTTCTGGCTGGTTCCACGGCTCATGTGTTTTCCAGGTCTCACCACGGTTCAGCCAAATGCCTCAACGCGGTCTCAAGTGCTTCACGTTCCGCCTGGTGGCCTGGCGGTCTCTTGCGTCGTCTCATGTGGTCTGACCGGCTTGCCCAAAACATGCTCTGGCAGGCTCCAAATGCAACGGGAAATGGTTGCCAACAGTTAGATAACAATAATTAATGTCTTCTAAAGTATCTTCAAATGTGATGGGCTTGGTTAGAGTTCTGGTCTTCAATTTGCGAGGGTCAAGACTTGAACGATTGGCTTTGACCCTCACATGCAAGACCTCAGTGCTGAGGTGCCCAACGCTCTTCTGCTAGAACTGCCTTCTCTGCCTCACACGTTTGAGAACAGTGCGCGCCGCTGATGCCGCGCGTTTGAGAAATCCACGATTAAAAACAAGAACATGGCTCAACTATATGGACTTACCCTGCTGCGACGATGTTCCTGTGGAATCCTGTGTAATTACCTGCTTTCACCCGAATGGAACGGCCTCTTCGCGTAGCCTCTCCCGAAGCTCGGAACCTGAAGCGAGACCGTAACGGTCGTCCTTCCGTTGGGTGGAAATGGCTTCCATAGGGTTTCTTCGCCAACGTCTTTTTATTCTGCAAACTGTATGGCCAAGGCATCTCGGCACGCGAAACGTGAAACAACTGCCACGGACATGCTAGCTGCCGGCAGAACATGATGCACTTCAGTGGCGAGGTAGAAGAAGGAGACCAAGCTTGTTCATTCCAACAGGTCCTTACTCAGTTTTGCTAATTGCGCCAGGAGTTCTGTGAAAGTGGATGGATTATGTAAATCAACAACTCAATGACCAAACGTTCAAATCAATGTAGCACAAACATGTGGTCTTGGCAACTCAAATGTTCAACTCAAATGCACAGTTTGGCACCAATCAATGTCATGCACAAGAAACCAACCTTTTAGGATCCACTCGACTGGTGCCAACAAATGTGCCAGTCGCATATCGCTACGGCCCAAACAGCGCATGTGTTCGAGCAATTGTCTGCGCATGTGTTCGCCCCTGTTGGAATAGTAACAGAAGTTGAACATGAAGAACTTCCAAAGTGATCAACTGTTTTTTGTGCAGTTGAGATGGGCGCCCAAACGCCAACCAACAATACGGGCACTCTCAGAGGAAAAGAAAAGCGGCCATGGCCTGGACGTGGCGGCAAGGGTCCAAATTCACAAGTTCTAGTAGATTCTATAGTGGGCATGATGCTCCTGTACAGCTGCTCGAGCAGGGCGTTTGGAGGAATCCAAGGGTTGCTTGGGGGTCCTCAACATCTGCCAAAAGCACCGCTGGGAGCACTAAAAGTAATTACTGGGAAGCAGGCTTCACTGGGCAGGCAAAAGCATACACGTATACAAAAAAATAGCAACTTGGATTCGCTTATATAGGAACCTGGAGGTAAATTCCAAAAAGGAGATTTACCAGTTGAGAAAATCACGCACACTGAGCAAACAAAAAGTAAATTGACATCACTGCCTGACACTGACTTCCTGGGTTGTGCTGCAAAGTCAAAAGGTCTGTTTCTTCCTGTAGTGGGGACGCCATTTGAAGGTTAAAGCTTATACTTATATCCAGTTTTCCTGGGTAGGCTACCTCAAAGGAGCCTGCTAGGGGCTGATGAACAAATACAGCAATGACAAAAAAGAAACGTCTAGCACACATCACCCTCTTTTGCCCACCTTTTTCGCAGGCAAACGGTGGTTCTCACTGGGTTGTCAATGAATGACTTTCGGACTCAAGGAATTCATACTACAAAGGTACAGCGGCACATAATATACGTATATACCGTATATATAATATAAAGCAAGGAGATTGGACTCGCACAGTAAGCATGGCTTACTAGACCTGGAATCCCAGAATTCTGGTTCTCTACTCCTTTCAACTGTGCTCATTGCTGGCAAGCTTAAACCTTGAAGACAGTTCGCCGGTCTCTTTTGCTCCCGCTCACGGTGCTTCATCATCTTCATCTTTTTTAAAATAATCACGCGGCGCGCATCTGTGACAAGTCTTCCCTTCACGAATGTCAATGTTTTTTTGCTAGCACAAACGACCACAGCATCATCCAGCAACGATAAAGCTAAAGCACTAGCGCTTGTCCGGTGAGGCTGTTCTGATCAGCAGGACTTAGTCCTCCTGGAGTCGCCCCCAGGAACACCGGCCGCAGCTGACATATATGCACAAAGCGGTGCTGGTGTTGGTTCAAACACATTCGAGCAGAAGACATGGGGCATGAAGGGGCAAGCCTTGAACATCCTCACACCAACTAGCTCTGTGAGCTAGAATGCGTTCGTGCTGACCAAACACCGGCACTTGTATAACAGCCTGCAAGGTCAACATGGGACTGAACCAGGACCTGGCTGACAGTCTCAACTGCAACCTACAACCTCTAGGACTCTAGGATCTGTATTGGTGCAGCTCAGTACCACGCACACGAGGCCAGTCTGGTCTTGGTTCGACCAAGGAACTTGCTTCAAAGTACCTAAAGCTATATCTGACAGTGGGTAGCACAAGTACCCAGGTGCTCATGGGCGCAAAAAAGGCGAAAGTGAGCCCAGAGGTGTTTTGCTTCTGAATGTCCCAACATGTTTTCATATTGTTCGTTCCATGCGCCCGGGCGTTCGTGCCTTTTTTCTTGCGTCTCGGCCGATGATCTCCTTTGATCCTCCCTGAATGGTGTCGCTCAAATCGATCAAAAAGGCGATCTCCACTCCCCCCAAATGGCTTTGTATATTCACCCTGCGTCCCCGCAACCAATGGGTGTTGGACGTCAGATGACGTCGGTGTCAGTTGAGTAATTAGAATCGTTTGGATGTCAACAGCCTGTCCAAGCTACTTCCACATCTCAGCCATCCGACTTCTCCGCCTCGTTCAACCAGCGCCGGTCGTTCGACCCCGTCGGTGTAGTGGTTATACGGCCCTCCAAAGAGCCCCCAAGGTGGGAGAAACATGTATCCACTTTACAGCATTTTACAGCAACATGTTGCGATACAAATTGTTGAGCCTCGGACCCTGGCATTTCAGGTGGCCTGATTATCGATGCAACTGACTGTCACCTGCCACCGGTACCTTTTTGATCCTTTTTGCTCGAATCCAATCGGGAGAATTTCTGGTTGGAGAGCTGGATGCTCTCCCATTAGACTAGCACTATCGCAAATCCCTTCGTGTCATCATGTTCAATGGCTCAGTGCAGTTCAATGCTGGGGCAGGATATGAAAGGGGCACACCCCGGTACGGAACCTGATAGTAAGGTCGTGTTCATGGCCGCGGGGTGTCTTCTTCGGAGAAACAGGTCGCCTCCTCCGAGTGCGTGTTCTTTGCCTTCTTTGGGGAGACCTCCCGCACAGCTGAACCATGCTAGGTTGCACCAGAACACAGTCCACAAATCGCATGTTCTGCACTTTGGTTGGAATGGCATGGAACACATTGATTACACGCCCCGGCACGTTCTGAAAAACATGACTGCTCTTCTGCAGCCTGGTCTGCAAAACCTCTAGCCTGACATACAACGTTACCGAAAGTAGCTACTAGCTGTGCATCAGTACTCTGCTTCTTCAGCCGCTCCTCTTTCCCATCTTCATCGTTCTTCGCATCCTCGCCTGTCCAGCTTTTCATCTTTCGCGCGCAAAGGTGCTCCATATGGTAGGGCCCCGTAGGGCTAGGGACACTTCAAGAGAGTCATAATTGACCCGGCTTTCGACCAGCAATCGCCCCATGTGCTCAAAGGGTTCAACAACATGCCATGATTCTCAGGAATTTAGTCACTCCTGAAGCAGATGAAGAAGACGAAGATGACGAGGAGGAGGACTTCCTCAATTGTCCAATTTACTCGGCAGGCACACAAAAATGGGACCCTCCATCCACCGCATTCTGCGTCCCAAAAAGCTCCTCACCGCTCCGTGAGCGTGGGTGAAGCCACGGACGCGACAGAAAGCTCTAGGGCTCTCGACTTTTTCTTTTTCTTCTTCTCCTCGAGTTGCGTAACATCAAAAAAAAGGGGGCAGTCCGCAACTCCCAGGACACCTCGCACAGTGTTAACCAAGGAGTTGCAGACGGTGAAATGGTACCAAGCAACCAGCCTTCTTTTTATCCTTTTTCTTCTTCTTCTCTTTCTTTTTCTTGTCCTGGCACCGCTTTGTGAGCGAGTCTCGGGATCCGTCCTCCACATGGAGAAGGGCAAAGTTAGAACTCCAAGGATCTCCAATGATGGTGAGGATCCAATCATAGAATAGCACCATGATCCAAAGAAAGCACGTCTCGTCCTTTTTCTTGTCTTTCTTCTTGTGTTTCTTCTTCTCTTCCTGACCACGTTGGGACAAACCTAATGACCTTGGATGGTCTCTTGAGAAACGGGTCTTGCACGTATGGCAATGCTTTCTGCAGTGCAAGCATTTTACTGCGCAAAAAAGTAGTTCCAGTTCCAGCCTTCTTGAACTCTTTGTTTTGTCGTTCGGCCGCGGCGACGGCATACTTGTCCAATCGACTATTCCTCAGGCAGCTCAATCACACCCAAATTTGCGTCCAAAGACAACAGTGGACATATTCTATGGGGAGCCCTTCTTTCATGTACAAACTCTCGCTCAAGCACGTAAAACATAATTCGACAAACCAAACTTGAATTAGGACTCAAGAAAAACCTCGTGCTCGACCTCAGGCGTCTCAGAAAACGGACGCCATGTCACCTGTCAAAGCCACCTTTGACCCACCAAATCTTGAAGCGCAAACCTCTCATGTCTGTCACAAGTAGTGGTCAAATGGATTTTGTTTCTCTTGACACCACGTTTCTCCCTCAGAAAACCCCCTCCTCCAGGGACCTAAATTGTTGCTCCTCAAGAGCGGGCCTTTTCAAGTTTGCAAAAGAAATTCTCACCAAAATCAATTAAACATCAACTTTCCACTTCCCTTTTAGCACATCTTGTGCTTGCAACGTTCAAATCCACAGGTGTCCAACTCAGCCCAGCTGTTTATAAACACCTTCTGTGCCAACAAATGCCATGCTAAACACGACTTTCTGCTCCGGAGACTGATGCCACTTGGCATCATGGCCCACCCAAGTTTAACTGAGGGCGGCACACAAACTTCTCCAACATCTTTTCCATGGTCCGACCCTCAGTGTAAGTTCCATCATCCGCATAGTACTTTGTTATTGTCTTGGTAGCAGTGAACAAACTGTTATAATATTAATAATAACTTAATAATAACAATAACATATAGGCGTTTCAATCCTGACCAAGTTTTGCCTCCGTTGTGTTTTTTTAATGGATATGAAACAAACAAACACACACACATTAGGACACGCAAGAAAGTCGAACACAAAACTTTCACCAAAAAACACTGAAAAGTGCACCGTACAGGGCAGGGTGTTGGTCAACAAAACCCAGGAAGTTGCCAAGGCAAAGGTCCTTCCGCTGCTGTTGTCACTCGGCTCTCTCTACCTCGCTCTTTCAAATGCTTCATCCATAAATATATTGCACCCCTACACACCAGCTACTTTCGAGTGTGCTTTCTCAGGCCACCCCCCCGAACCCCCCTTCTTACTCAGCTGGCGCAGGTATAGATACCCAGGGTAACTACAATTCATCTTCAGTTACCAGGTATAGTACTTCAAGTTCCCTTTCCGTCAACCGTTCGATAACCTTTACACACGCACAGCAATCCACAGCTTTGAAGTCTCATTCTTGCGTTGAACTTATATAGGTGCGTGAGAGGCATAGCAACATAGTATTTATACGGACCCAGGGTAGCTACAACTCTGTTGCCAGGTGTCCCAATTCAATTTCCCTACCCTGGGTCCGCGCGCGCGCGCCTTGCTGGCTCCCGGCTGCCCGTGATTTACGCAGACCCAGAGCAGCTACAAGGCAGTTGCCAGGTATACCCAGGGTAGCTACAATTCAGTTGCCAAGTATAGCACTGCAACCAACCGAAGACAATTGCATTTCTTAAAATCACAAAAAAGCACCTCCAAAACCTTGCTTCCGTGCACCCCTACACACCAGCTACTTTCGAGTGTGCTTTCTCAGGCCACCCCCCCGAACACCCCTTCTTACTCAGCTGGCGCCTTGCCAGGTATAGATACCCAGGGTAGCTACAATTCAGTTGCCAGGTATAGTACTTCCAGTTCCCTTTCCGTCAACCGCTCGATAACCTTTACACATGCACAGCAAACCACAGCTTTGAAGTCTCATTCTTGATTTGAACTTATATAGATGCGTAAGAGGTATAGCAACATAGCATTTATACGGACCCAGGGTAGCGACAATTCTGTTCCCAGGTATCGCACGCATGAGACTTCAAAGCTGTGGATTGCTGTGCGTGTGTAAAGGTTATCGAACGGTTGACGGAAAGGGAACTTGAAGTACTATACCTGGTAACTGCACTATAGCTACCCTGGGTATCTATACCTGGCAAGGTGCCAACTACACCTTACCATTCAGATGATGCAAGTGATGCAAATTGCATTTCTTGCATCACCACCCCTCAAAAATCACCTCCAACACAACCTCAAAAAACCTTCCATCCGTCCACCCTCCTCCCCCAGCATGTGCCGAGTTTACGTGTACCTTTTGCGGGCCACCCCCCCAAACCCCCTAACTACTCACTTCGTTCGCCAAGCACAACTCAGCAGGCGCCTTCTACGAAGGCTGGCTTTCGTAAATAGGAACACACACACAATAAACAACATTTCCTTACAAACAAAATACACAAAGAACACACATATGTATATAATTGCATATGTATATATATATATACTAATTACACGCAGTATATAATCTATATAGGTTTCCGAGCAAATCCTGGTAGAATACATCGTTGCCATCGATGTGACCCGGGCTCGATTCCCGGCTGATGCATTCTTATCCTAACGCTTTTAACAAACTTTTGCAGCACCACGCCCACATGTGGGTGGACGTCACAGGAGTCATAGCAACTGACATGCAGCACCCCCTGTGGGACTCGAGCCCACAATCTTCGGATTAGAAGTCCGACGCGCTCCCCAGCCGCTTGCTGAGCCAGGCGCCGCGTCGGCCACCACCGGCACGGGAGCGCCGCCCGCGCCCATGGCCTCGCCCAGGGCGATGGCGCGCTGCTGAACCGCCTGGGAAGCTGCTTCAGACGGCCGAAGGGTCCAGCAGGGATGATATTGAATTATCTATAGTGATATTCCAATTGAAATGTGCCAAAGGATGCTGGAGATATCTGAAGATTTGGGGTTGTGGGGCAACTGGGCACAATCACTGGGACTTCCTTCCTGTGAACATCTGCGAACTACATTGAAGTGCAGTTCCTTGTTCTTTTGGGCGCTTCATGGAGGGACAAAGGGCAACCAAAAAGGTAGATCCTGTTGGTCACTGGTTGTAGGGGGACCCTTCATTATTTCAAAACCTTTTGGCTTTCTACAATCAACACATATATAATATAATGTGGTGTGACCCCAAATTCTAGACCCTGCCACTGCCTGTGGAAACTGTTGCAAGAATCTTCCAATGGATGATCTGGTCGGTTCCCGACCAACTCTTGGAGTTGGCGGCCGACAACCTGAAAGTGGAGTTGAGTGGATGCACGTTGAATCTGCGGATCTTCACACCTTCATACGCCTTCCATCCTTAAAGAATTCAGCAGCTTCCCATGCTGCAAGGCCCTACCAATTGGCCAAACAAATGCAGCTTCTCCATGATTTTGGGTGCTCGCCCAGCTCAACCGACGGGCGGCAAAGGAATCGGGCCAAGTGCACCGGTTGAAGAGGTTCCCATCACGAGGCTCTCAACAATTCCCGGTTCGATATGGTTCGGATGGTTTCGGGTTTTGCTTCGGATGGCTTTCTTGGCCAAGTAAAGCCATTACCTACCCGAATCGTGCAAAGCTTTGATCGCAATGGCAAGATGCAATGATGTGCCATCTTAGATTCTTAGATCTTGCCCACAAACCCAAACAGCTCCATACCAGGTTCCACCTTGGGAAAAGCGCTCCAGATTGATCGGCACCGGCCTCCGCATTGCCCTGCAAGGACTTGGCAAAGGCCGCGGAGCCACCGCCCCTCACGGAAAGCCGAGGTCAGGAGCTGCAAAGCCGCAAAGGAGAAAGAAAGGTGCAAAGACAACAAGAGCGACCGGTCAAACAACTTGTTTGTTGTTAATTGGGCTCTGAAAAGGCTGTCACGTCCACAAGCATTATCAGTCTTTGATTGCAAATCTTTGAAGGGGCAATATGGGGCAATACTTTGTGCTTCATCCGATTTAACATAGCCATGAAATTAATAGGATGCCGCCCGTGTCGTTGGTCGCCACACAAAAAGCTCCAAGTTCCCAGCGCTAAGCCCATGGTTTCAAAGCGGCTCTTGTAGCTATCCTGGGCCCCGGCAGAGTCGGCGGGTCCCGGGCTGCGATCGAAGGGGAAGTCGGCGGGTGGCGATTGAAAGACTCTCGGCTGGTTGGTCTGAATAAGTTGCAAAAGCTGAACAAGTTTTGGAAAAGGTGGCAGTTGCACCACTTGGGTCCATTTTGGTCGGCGCGCTCCGCGTGCTAGACGGCGCCCGCCACATGTTTCTTACAGTGGCGGGGTGAAAAGCAACCCAAAGACACACACACACAGGTATGCGGCATGCGGACAAAAACTCATGTTTGATATTCCAATGGTGGCTGGTATTTTAGCACATGCTGAACAACAATTGCTGCAGCCTGTTGCTGAGATTGCATTTCAAGGCAATATTGTGAAGCATGTCTTCACCGCACAGTATGGGAAAGCACATGCACTAGAATCCACTAGAATCTCTCAGCATCGAAGCTATGAATCACAAAAAACCTATCACTGTCCAATCATGTCATTTTACACAATTGGCAGAATCACATCTCCATTATCCAGGAGTTCACCTGTCTGCTTTTGCAAGGGCCATTGGGCCGGATCCCAGCCGTCCAAGTTGCACGCCGCCTCCACGTTTCCCGCCGCAGCGGTCAAAGAAAAGGCTGCGGCCGGGATGGAGGAACTGGCCACCACGCACTGACCGGTGGGATTGGAATCACCGACGATGGCCACACAGGCGTTTGAGGCAAGCCCTGAGAAGCGGATGATCACTGAAAGCAAACCTAAGACGCTCATCATATCAAGCGCGCAGTCTTTGGGTCCAATTCCCTCGGTGTGAGGGCAGGTGCTCACGGCATCTGCCAAGACTACTCCTAGTCTCATGGTAAAGCTACCGATCAAAGTGATACAACCGAAACACAGTGCGGTGTTTGAATAAACCGTGTTCTTTGGTACTGCTGGTGATGCAGGGAGAACCCCAGTGCGGACTCCGTGGTCAGCCAGGAATTCATAGGCGCTCCTCTTAACATCCAGTTTGATGTCCTCCAATTCAGCCGCTGCCGCATCCACCTTTTGTGAGATGTTGCGATTGTCAACGCAATCCAGTTCGATTTGCAAACCAGCCTGTGCCAACAATACCGTCATACCCACCATTGACGCAATGTTGGTTGCACAATTTGCTGGTACATTCAGAGATTGAGAGCAAGCGGTCAGTGAGGCAGTGATGAGACCAGCAATCAAATCAGTGTTGATGATGGTGAGCATGAGGAAGTTGGCACATCTCTGCTTCTCCTCCTCCGTCACTGGGCCTCTTCGACGCCTTCGAATGGCCTTGTAATCACACACGTTCACCAGCGTATTGATCAAAGCGCCCTGATTGGAAAGCCTGGCCACGATCTGTGCGACATTCACCACACAAAGGCTCGTGGACATTTCTGGACTACTCAACTGGATGGTGAGCGGATTCGGAGCCGATGGTCGAAGCTGGTGGCCGGAGAAGCTGGGTCTCCATGGGACCAAGAGTAGCAATAGCAACGCCAAGAACCAAGTGGCCCATCGGAGCAGCAAACGGGGAAGTGGAGCATGTCTAGCCAGCAGTGGCGCATGGTGTGGCTCTGACTCCTCACCATTGCTACCTGCAACGTGCATGGGGAAACATCACGAAACATGGATGGTGCGCATGCTGAGCCAAGCATCACTGGAGCGCCCTCTGCACCCTCTGAATCCAAGAAAAACAACCGTGCACGTGGCATCTGATTATATATAAATCCGATTCATGCTGAGATCATGAGATCATCATACCATAAACAATCTTATACAATCACACTTCCCCGACATAGCCCTTCGTCAGGAGGGTTTTGCAAGAGTATTTTCCTGAGGTGGAACGACGAATCGCCACCACCGCCCCAAAGGGTTGTAGCACGTTGTAGTGCCATCCAAGGATCCATGTTGTTCGGCTTTGTGCCTTGCATGCGCTTTGGCCTTAGGTGAAAGGGCCACCGCAGCTGCTGGTGGCAAACCAGTGCCTTACTATTGGCAACTATGGACCATGGGGCCTAACAAGTCTAACTAAACCCCAAGTCTTTTGGCAGCAAACAAGTGCTTCCAAGGACACCAGGAATGGAATTAGGATATATAAATGGTGCATGTAATTCTCACGAAACTCCTGACATTCTAGAATTGAGATGAATTAAGAGATTCCTATGGACGCAGCCGGGATGCATTCCACCGGACTCAAAGCCGACGGTGTTCATCCTGAGTAGAATTCACAAGCTTCAAATGAATCAATCTATCTCAGAAAATGTATCTTATTAAAGGTCAATGAATCACTGCCAGCCTGAATCAGCTGGCATCTTGTTTGCTCATGTGTGTTGCCATGTGCTCTAAGTTTGATCCCCATGGTTGGGTTTCTTGGCTTCCATGTCTGTCGAGTTGCTGGGCTTCGATCTTCGCGGTCCGGTACTCCAAAATACTCATCTTGGGCGCCATGGCGTGCCACGACGCGGCTTGCTTTTCAACGTGGAGCGGGACCCGTTGGCCCGGAAAAGCTCCCAAATCAACTGAGGAAGACGAGTTGCACATCTCTGAGAGGAGTAGGTCGCCCATCTCAGGCGGAGGGGCATGGTGGCTTTCAAGTTATCCTCCGGAACTCGCTGAGGCAACATTTACAGGTGACCGAGCCGTAGTAGATCAAGAGCTGCAGCTGACATATATATTATATACACAACACACATTCCGACCAGCACATCTTCCACCCTTTTTTGACATGATGATCATCATGAGCCCAACGGCTACGAAAAGGCATCCCTGTCCGTGTATAGTGCTGGGGGGCTCATTCAGGTCCTCTTTATTCTCTCTCAACCTTGTAATCCAAGAAGCTGAGAATCAACAACCAACACAAGGATTGAGGACCATATTTTACTTTCTCACACGCTTTCGGCTGGCACAAAGGGGTTTGGATGAGTCCGACGGATCTGCACCGATCGTCTTGTCCCGGCTTTTTCTGGCTCTGCTTGCGCTCCGCTGGCTCTTATGGATCTGTCTCCAGGCCCAAGGTTTGAAGTGGTCCTGACCGGAGTGCAACATCCCATTCATGATTGGTGCCTCCCACACAAGTGACCATTGATTGACTTATTGACTGGGATGATCTATAGACATAACAATTTGGGATCAATGGTCGAAACATATGAGAAACTACAGTATTCACATTGACATCTTGCAGACTACTTCAACCAAACAAAACAGTTGTCTTGCTAATTGTCTTCATCATGCAGCACTGTTGGGTCACCCGGGAATCGAATTCACAGGTCCATTTTGTGTGGCAATGACCATGCAGGCTGTCCCAGGTGTCCCCATGTAAGGTCCTTGCAGGTGGTGTTCTAGGGGGAAGGGTGGTAGACTATCGTGAGTTTGAACTTCAAGAAGTGCAACTTTTATCTGCAGGGTTTTGTGTATCTAGGGTTGATGGTAATCTCACCACCCAAAAAGTAAAAACGATCACAGTAAACACATGGTTGCAACCTGCTTCAAAGCGGCACCGGAATGCCCACAAATCACAAGCGCCCCAATAATGGAACTATGTCCTATGAGCCTTTTATATAATGTTTCAAGCTCTCTTTTTCCTTTCGCCAGGCAGGCAGGGACTCTGAAGGTGGTCATGCTGCAAGCTGAACTTCCAACCACCAAACTCAAAGCCACCTTTCCCAGCCTCCCTTCTTCACCAAAGCCGTGGCCATGCCCTCTCGGGGCTATGGGCATCAAGAAAGAAAACAGCTCGCTCCATCACCTCGGAAAACACTCCAGCGAGTTCAGTAATGCGGTCATACGTCCATGGTGACATCTTTTGTTGATAGGTGGCAACTGAAGCTTCTTGGATGTAGATTTCCAAAACTCTGGAGCTGAGCCATCTTCCCTTTCGCCTTACCAGTTCTGAATCCTCCGTTTGCTGGAGGAGAAACGTCGCACCGCCCGGCCTAAGAGAGGCCAGGTCGTAGGGCGAGCTGTTGGGGAGTCGCCTCACTTCCAAGCCGACAGCTCGTTGGAGTGTGACGAAGCGCCTCCGAAGCGTGGCCGGTGACCAAGGCCACAAAGGAGCAGCTGCGTCAAGCCTCCTGAAGACAGCGGTGACCAGGCGAACAATGTCCTGATACTCAAATCTCGAGGCTTGGTGCCTCGCTGATCTTCCTCTGGTCTTCGGCTCCTGGATCTTTAAGATGATCCCTGTTGCGCCTGGTGCAGCATCACCAGGGAGCACCAAATCTCCTCGACGAGCGGAGAAGATCTCTCCAATGCGAAGGAGTCCTGCCCAACTCATCGCGAAGATAGCCGCCTCACGCGGCCATCCCCAGAGGAGGGCTAAACTGCAAAGCCCCAGCAAAACTGAAACTGGAAGAGCTGGATGATGTTGTCTGGGCTCTCCTGACACCCAGTTGAAAGCCAGGTCCCAGGCAGCGGCGAGCTGCCTCCTCAGAGCTGGACGCCGTTGGGTAACGGCGTTGATGGTCTCGGCAAAATTTCCGTAGGGATAACCTGCCAGGAACATCTCTTTTCCATATGCTATGAGGGCCTCGCAAATCTCTTCGGGGTCAAGGAGGGCAGCATCAACCAGTTCCACCAAAGTAGTTCGCAGGTTATCTGCGAGCCAACTATCAAATTCAGCAAGCCGCTTCGACCTCTGATTTCGGGTGGATTGCTTTACCACCCTGTCAGCTTGAAGCCCCCAACCCGATCGTGCTTCGGCCCTCGACCGGTCATCTGGGCCTCGTGGGGCTAATGGCATGGCAAGTGCAAAACACGAGGGCGCGCGTCCCAAACGGCTGCGGGCATGTGAGCACTGTGGTTTACCAAAACCATAGACCTTTGGGGGACCGGTGTCTGAGGAGGCGCTGAGAGAGGTGGAAACAAGCAAGAGCCAGGAGATTGGCCGACGGGCCCTGCCAAAGAGGAAGCAGAAGGAAGCCAAGCAAGCTGCAGACAAGAGGCACTCTGCTCCTGATCCCATCAACTGCCCAATGGAGGTGATTGCTGTGACGAACTGGTAGAAGGGTAGAGCAAAATGCTCTGATGAAGTCGGCGTAGTCCCAGGAAGATCCCAAGCTCCCGCACCAGGGCAAAGCGAGAAGGTGACTAGGATGAATAACCGCAACCATCCGGCCACCGGCCTTGAGAACTGATGAGAGTGCAAGGTAGCAACCTGAGAATCAGATAAGTACTCCAAAATGGAGTGGTCTGAAGGCTCTGGAAGGGCTCGGTCACGAGTGGGTGCATCCGCAGTGTTCAGTCGAGTAGGAGCAAATCCAAAGGAGGGGTGTAAGTTTGCAGCCACTGTAATTGCACAGGCCTTTCTCAGGGACCTCTGGAGTGAACGTGCCGATGACCTTCCCTTTGCATGAGCCCCCTTTGCGACTCTGCTGTCCAGAAGGGCTACAAAACGTCGATGGCCCCCCTTTTGTGCGAGTCGGTGCAGCAGGCCCACATAAGCATGACTCTCCAGGATGTTGATGTGGCAAGGTGTCCTCCATCTCCACGAGAAAACCGTGTGCCACTTGGATGACTGCAGGAGGTCATTGATGATCAGTGACTCCAGACCCTTTCCGCACGCCCCTTCTGATGCATCACGCTTCTTGAGGGCTAGCTGTATGTGGGTGGCTAGATGATCAACAACCCCCGGGACATAAATGGCACTCTGCTTTGTATATGCTCCCTCAATTCGGATGTGGGAGTGACCCCCAGAGCACTTTCTTTGAAAACTGTCGACCTCGAAGCCATACACGAGGAAGCGGAACTCCTTCCGGTGAATGCTACCAAACATGCAGCTGGCGACAACCACCTCCTCCAAACCCAAGCTAAGGAGCCACTTCCAAGCGCTCAACCAAGCCATCTTGCTCAGACGAGGCTGTTCCAAGAAACCTGGGGCACCACAACGGTAGCGCATCAGCAGGCATCTCAACGCAAGGGTGGTGCCAATAAGCGTCCTCCTCTCTGTCCTGTCAAAACCAAGAGGTCGCTCGTAGGATCGAGATGCTGGATATTGTGCCGGAGAAAATGTTGTGCACGGGGGCTCACAACCAACACTCAAGAACCGCCTTTCATGGATCATCTGTAGCATCCAGTCTAGAAGCTTGACATTGGTGAGGTCGAAGTGCTTACTGGCGGTCAGGTCGAGTGGGGTACAAACTCGAAGTCCCCTTCTCGCAAGCTCCTTTGAGAGAACACCAGAGCCTCCGCAAATCTCAACAAAGTCAAAGGCGAAATCGATCGAGCGGGTAGGTGATGGAGGCAGCCCTTCAAGCGCAACCTTTTCATCTTCCTCACTGGGAATCCCAAGCTGTCTTAGGACCAAAGCCGGCCCTTTCTCCAACATTGTGTAGGAGCCCTTTCGATCTCCCCCCAGCCAAAGAGACTGACTGAGGCTATCTGAGGCTCTGCAAGCTGTGACAGCCCCTCGCTGATTGGATGCATCAGTCGCATAGACATGCTTGTCATAGTCGACGGAGATGTCGGTGACCGCCAAGAATCCCGCAATGCTCGCCAACACAAGCTCTTCAGCGACATGCCGAGTAAGTGTGACGACCTCGTTGGCCTGCTTTTGTGAAGGAGTCCCCAGTGCGAAAAGGCCATCCAGGGTACAAGTAAGGCACCTCCGGAACATCAGCAAGGAGACCCACTGGCCAGCAAGCCTTGAGGCGAGACCCCTCGTGATGACTGGAAGAGCTGATAGCCTCAGAGACAAATACGAGGTGGATACCCTTTTAGCAGCATGCCCCGCAACTGCAGTGGTGCCTGCTGATTGGGCCCTCTCATTCGAAATCACTTCGGCCCCAACCGCTTGAAAGAAGGTCTCACCTCTGACAGTCTTGTCATCGGAGCCAAGGACTTGATTCTCCTTGTATATGTTTTCGGCTACTGCAAGCTTCTTCTCGGCGAGTGAATCACCTTTGCGGCAGCTCCTCTTCTCTCTGGAGATGATCACATAGTCATCGATAACCAAGATTTCCCACCATGGGCCTTGAGGGAAAGGCTGATGCCTAAGGATCTGACTTGCACCCTTCAGCAGGCCTTCACTCCTCAAGAGGTTTGTGTGGCTAGCCAAGGCGTATTCCACGCCAAGATGGTCTCCTTGGAAAAGGCTGCTGAATCCAGCATAGACCTTCTCTGGGGCCTTCCCAACCAGCAAAGGCACTCTCCTCTTGAAACCTAGGCGGTCACCATGGGCCTCCCTGTCATACTTTTCGTTCAGGATCTCCTCAAGCTCGAGCAACTCTGAACTACCATAAAACTCCTTCGTGTGAAAAGCAAAGGGAAGTTGGTTTGACCATGCTCGAGATCTGGAGACCTGGGCCTGATGATAGAAGTCCCGCCGATCTGTGACACATCCGACTAGCTTATAGCCCCGCGGACAGTGAAGCGATGTGAGGTTTACTCCGGCAGGAAGGAAAGCCGAAGGACCTGAAGGGTGCATCTCGGCACCATTGCACCACCTCCTGTCTCCAATCTGTCTGTCGACTTCCTCATTTTTGAAAGCATTGAACACCCGGGACTGGAACTCGCAAGGGCTATCGAACAGAGCCAGCAGCCCCTTGGTGCTCCAGAGTTTTGCCAGTTTCAGGCTCTCAGTGACGGATTCCCTGGAAAAGTCAGGTCCTGCCCAAGTGACTTCTTGACCGTGTCGAAGGACGCTCGGCTCAAGGAAGGGCAACCAGAGGATGTCATCAATGAAGTCAGCCATAGGCCAGCTTCCCTGACCTGTCAACTTAAGTCTCCCAGCATCGAGGCTGCGGTATGGATTCACGGCTGAGAACTCTGAGGCAGGCTTGAAGAGGTGATCTTTCTGAATGGTGCCCCGTTGATCAATCCCTTCATGAAATTCACCACCATAGCCCCCCAAGTTGAAAAGCGGGGAGGCATGAACAAAATTGGAAAGCTCAATGAGTCGAGCTATGAATTCTGGTCCTGATCTCCCTGGAGGTAGAGGATGATTTCCAGGAAGGTCACTCACGGTGATCAAAGCGTCCAAATGACGATGTATTCGCATCTGTGCTGGACTTGGACACCTCCCGAGACTGCTAACATCGAACGCTGCTCCGTCGGTGTAGAGGTAGTTCAAAAAGACTATGAAGATGTGCAGCAAACGCTTCCTGCAGATCTTCCACCATTGAGCAGCCGATAGCCTCGAGGCCGTCTGCCCCCCGAAGGCGTCAAAATCCCTCAGGGGCAGAGGAAAGACCGTGGTACAAGGAGGGTTTCCATTGAACGTAGTGCGAAAGGATTTGGCCAAAGCCGCGGAGAACCTTGTTCGGCTCTTCATGATCAGCCTCGGCAAGACAGCAACCAGCCGTCGGAACGAGATGGTGGAGCTCAGGGACTCCCCCGTGAAGCGCTCTTCCTCTGGATCCCGGTCCAGCTCATAGCCAGAGGTGTCACTCTGGTCGAAGGTCTTCTTCTTGGAAGTACTCCCAGGGAGCTTGTCTCTAGGGTCGCCAGTCCCGCCGAAGGCAGTCCTGTCGCCAGGCTGCTCTGAGGAAGAAGAACGCGGTGCCAGCAACCCCACAGACCCGCTCACTCCTGGTCTTCCTCCTGCTGCCTCTTCCCTTTTCCTCGCCCCTTTGCCTTCTTCTTGGCAGCGGGTTCCGAGGTAGGGGGGGAGGAAGGCTTCTCCTTTGTGGCCTCTGCACGCCTCGATTGGATGGTGTCCAGCTCCTTCAGATATTGCAAGGCCACTGTGATCCACTTCTGATCTGCTGTCGCTGCAAACGCCCTCTGCCTGGCGATCGAGGTGAATGACCGGTTGCTGAACAACCCCTGGGGGGGGTCCTCGATTAAAGCCAATAGGACTGCAACATCCATCTTCCCATTGTCCAATGCCATCTGTTCGAGGAAAACAAACAGTAGGCCCAGAGTGTCCCGGGCGGCAAGATGGTTGTCCTGCTGCATGAAGTCCATAGCCAAGGCAACCTGCCAGATCACAAAACCTAGCTCCCGGTGTCTGCCAAAACCCCCGAACCTCTCCAGGTACCTGGTGGCACAAACTTCTCTGGAGTGGAGCTCCCCCGGTGACAGCTCTGCCGACGTAGTAGGGCTCATCCTCCTTGACATTTGCTGCAAAACGCTTGTAAAGAAAAGCCCCTTCTGGCTGGCAAGGTCCTGCTGCAGTCGAGCTCTTCCCAACGCACCCTTGCTGGAGATGCCTCCGGTCGAAGATGCCAATTCTCCCATAGGGTCGGAAGACGAGGATGCTATCTGACCAACCAACGTCGTGAGGGCTCGGCTCTGCTCCAATACTGCTTTGGCGAGGTCGTTGGCGGGTTCCTGCTGCAGGAGCTCTGTCTCCGCCTCCTTTGCTTCGGCCTCCAATGCTCCCACTCCACTCTTGGCAAGCTGCTTCAATGGAGTAGATGTATTTTTGGGGGGGCGGCATAGTTTGCAGGAAAGAGCTCAGCGGCCGTGTGCCAGGCAATCCACTCATAACTGATTGTCCCAAAGGCTTTCTCAAGGCAGATGGTCTGCTTGGATTGGCTTGGGCCTCTTCGATGCTGGCCGTGCGCAGTGCCAGTTCCTGAATCTGTGTACTGAGCTGAGGAAGCACTGAAGAGATCTGATCCAAGGACTCGGCCAGCTTTGCAACTGTAGGCCTCTTTGGCTTCTCCTCCTGCTTGACGGCCTTGTCGACGCCTGAAGAAGTACCTGGCTTCTTTCGCCGGCGAGGAGTAGTGGCGGCCGGGATCATTTCCTCTTCCTCTGCAGCAGAATAGAAACTCACCCGCTCTGAGATGTTTTTCCCCATTGTCCAACCTGTTGCAGCTGCGACGAGATCCTCCGGAAGAGGAATGAGGTCCAGCTCGGAGACGGAGAAAGTCACGGCCTCCTTTAGCTCCTCTAAGGGCCCCAACTCCCAAAGATGTGCAAGGATGTCGACTGAGAAATCCACGAGCAACACTTGCACCCTCTGATCTGCTACCACCAGAGGCTCCTGAGTGATGTTGTCTGGGTTCAAAAGGGCGGCAGCCAACTCCACCACCAATGACGGCCCAACCAGGTCGTCCATGGTCCCAGATTGACCCCCAGCAAGAAGTGGCGCTGGGATCGAATTCTCCGGCAGGGCAAACAAAAGGCCCGGTGCAGGTTGATACCTCTTCATAACCAAAAGACTCAAAACTGCTGCTCCACCTCCCAAATTCGCTCCATCCTCCGAGAGGTCCAGCACGTAGGGCTGAAGTCCCTGAGGCTCTGTCTCCGAGTGGAGAGGTAGGAGATGATCCATTGTTGAGATCACGGCAGGGGGTAGTCACGCCCTGCCCCGGCAAAGTATGCCCTTGCCTCTGCCTCAGATGGGAATCCGTGGCAAAGGGTCTCTGATCCTCCAAATTGCCAACTGCTGCAAAGAAGTCCCTGGATGTAGTGAACACCCTTGGAGAAGACACGAGTGGACTTTGAATGACAGCGTAGATCCTGTTGGGCAAGTCGATGGTTGGAGTACGATTCGGTGACGAGACTCTTCCAGATGCTGTTGCCGCTGCCCACTTGCCTGCAATCCAGGCTCGCTTGATCCTCTCAACGGGGGTGGCTCGCCCAGAGCACTGAGTAAGGCGAGAAGCCAAAGCCAGCACCACAGGAGGGCACTCACCAAATGACTCAAAAATCTTTGCCCTTGTCTCGCTTGATGTCGACTCGTGGGTCGGCCTGGAGGTAGTCCTCGGTGGCGAGGCAGGCGAATAGGCTGAGGGTGCTCTTGAGGAACGGTAGGGAGTAGAAGGTGCAGCCTCTGAGACAGTGAGATCACGAACGAAATCAGCTGCCTCAGTAGCAGGTCCACGGACTGTAATCTGGAGGCCACGAAAGGCAATAGCCAGGTCAATCGTCTCGTTTGCGGAGCCCTGAGATTGCTGCCCGTCCATGCACGTAAGCCCTCAACCGGGCCACCGGAGCCTTGACTCTCACCTGTGAAGGTGAGGATGATGCCTGCCAGGGAAGGAGAGATAGCCAGGCGATCAGGAGCAGGGAGATCAGAAGGCCCAAGGTCAGGCCGAGGCGGAAGACAACCAGCAAAAGGGGGGCCGAGGAGTGGCCGCAGTGAGAAGGGCAGCCAAGACCCCACCAATTGCTGGATGCGCCAGACACCAGCAGGTGAAGACCCTTAACCACAGTGTCCATGCGCTTGAGGACATGAAAGCGAGCAGTCAACATTACACCGACAAAGCTCTTTCTTTGAACATCCACCTCCATCACTACGATCGCCACCAGAAAGGAGAACACACACACACAAAAAAAGAACAAGCACACTGCGCGCCGCAACAACAACAACAACAACAACAACAACAACAACAACAACAACAACATTGGCCGCAACGCAACAGCACACCTGCAAGCCCATGGCCGCACTGAGTGTCTTCGGATCGTCGTGGACGATGTGGAAGTTCACCAAGCCTGCATGGAAACAGTGTGCTGACAATGCAGGTTGTTCTCATCTAAATGATCACTGTTTGGTCTGTTAGAACCGATTGGTATCTGGTGTCCAGTGGAGATGTCAACGGTCCACGCAGTCAGGATTGTTTAGTGCTACAATTCTGATTCACGAAGGACACAAAAACACCGACACATTCTGTAGAACCTGTAGCAAAAGCAGGTTGAAAGCCCGGAAAACTATGAATGGATGTCGATCGAGGACGTCTGAGTCCTGAGAGCAACACTTTCGGACATGTAGGAGCCCCAGTTGGTCTGTTCTTCCTATCAATTCACCACGTAACCCTGGATTCGATATTGAATCACAAAAGCTGAACCAACACATACCAACACCAAAGAAAACTGAGGAAACAACACATTCTTGTTGAGCTGCCAGGAGAGGGAGGCACTCAACCGTTGCACCTCCGACCGGTCACGGAGTTCCACCGGTCCCGGCCGGTGCCGGTCGACGCCAAGACACGGTTCGGAGCGATGACGTCGGGGAGCAATTGATGGACGCCGTGCCAGGCCTCCTGCGGAGGTCTCCGCGACGCTTTTCTTCGGAGCGCCCGTTTACGACGGACTCGTTGCGGTTCAAGGTCGCTGCTGAAATGTTTTCTTGGTGCACACGAGGGGGGTGATTGATGTCGTAGTAAAGATGAAGTGAAGTGGACAACATGAGAAATGCCTAGTGTTTCTTACCTGTGGAGAGAGATCTAATGGAAACTGGTGGGATGTTCAGATAGGGTGCCCTCTAAGCTACACATCTGAAACACCTCACCCTCTTCCAGGAAGCGAAAACTAGCGAAACCGCTTTTTCGGATACCACGCCCACGAATCCGTTCCAAGGAACCGGTTTCAAGGAACACAGGAAGAGCCCAAGAGGAACAAAGCACATCTTGATATCCATCCCTGCCGGCCAGGCCTACTCGCACGCTGGTTTCGAACAACGGGAAACCAGCTCAACCGGGACCCCCTCGTTGGCTGAAGGGATCGACAAACATTGGGGGCTCCTGGTAAAAAGGCAAGCCTTCACAGCAAGTGGGATAGGCAAAGTCCTGACGAATCAGGAGGAGCACTGGAAAAGCGTGGTGAGCCGAAACACATGTGATTCATGTGATGCTGCTGTTCTTGCATTTTTTTGGGGGTCGTTGTATTGAAAAGGCAACGGGAAGCTTTCCACATGACATGCCCAATGCAGGCTTGCAATCGAAAAAAACGGTGTGCATCGGAACTTCTGGGAATGATCTCAGAAAAGAGATTGCTTCTCCAATATCTGCATTTTCTCTGCACTTCTGGTGGCACCAGATTTCCGCACAGGAAGGGTCTCGTCACGCCACACTTTCCCTTTGCCATATGTTTTCCGGACAGCCAGCCATTGGCAAAACACAAGCAAATACACAATACCCCTCTTGCAATCATGATCGTTGACCCCACAATGTCCAACAAAACCAGCACTGTCTTCCTGATATTGTTCCTACCAGTAATTTCAACGCTAGTCATAAAGCCCACTGGTTTCGTGACCTGCCTCGATCACCAGCCGCTGAGGGATGCGCAACCGCTGCAGCTCCTGTTTCCGAAAGCAGGAGGCATTGCCACCGTAGCCTGCGTGATCATTCGTGCAACCATGTGCAACCAGGCAGGAATTTACTTCTTAAAGATCTTTAAAGTGTGTGTGCGTGTGTATGTGTATATTTATAAGATGAATTGGCCGTTCTCTGCCTGCCAATACATTGTCAGTGCTGCACATTCCCATGTGAATCATGTGATGATTCAGGGGAAGGGAATAGATAGATCTGAATAGTAGACTGATATATAACAAAGGCGCTACAGTAAGGGCACAGAACTGCGATGGTTAGCCAATAAAGTCTGTACACTCGTATGCAAGGTCCTTACTTTCGAACAGTCTTTTTAGATCTGAAGCCTTCCATATCCTTCCATTGTTGTGCGTTCCATGACTGGCTCCCGAGTTTCCCTAAAAAGCCAAGGCTTCCGTAGGTCAACGTTTTTGTCTTTTTTGCAGTTTGTTGTTAAAGGGTGATCCAATGTGATCGTCCGGATGAGCGCTGTTGGCCAACTGGCGGTGTTTCTCCTTTGTGAGCGAGCGCGTTTTCTTTGGGCCAGTCTGAATCAAGCGAATTCCATTCGATGCGGCAAAAGGTGAGCTTTCTTTTGGGCCTTCTTGAACGGTAGGAAAGCAGTACAGCGGCAAACATGGGGTCCAAATTGGATAGTAGATCATACTTGCTGTTCTGTTGATTGTAAAAAGTCAAGTGTTGAGATCGAAGGACACGGGCCCAATTTGACATGATTCTGGATTAGTCAGTGAATCGATATAGCCTAGAACATTGAGATAAGTCTTTGATCTCCACTCTCAACATCCCGCAACCAAGGACAAGACTTGTTTTGAACTTGAGTTCTGTGCACATGGGCACATCGCAACAAAATCATCCCAGTCTCGGGTTCTCCAAGTGGCCAAAGGCGGCGGCACAGCAAGAGTTCCACAGTTCAAGAAAGGCCTCGTCAGAGCGGTTTTCTGCAAAGGCATGCTTCGGGCTTGGGCTTCAAAGAACTGGGCCCGTGAATTGTGGCAATCCGGCTCCCAACATGTCAGAAAGCATCTTTCCGCATGTTTCCACGTGTCAATTGGGTCCGGCCTAAACGTACATGTGTGCCAACGGACTGTCGCAACATACTGGCACCAAACGAGCCTTACTGCAACAAATACGGCAAGCACTGGCGCCCACAAACACTGCCCTGCCCGCCTGCCAATCTTCACCCATAGAAACCAAGTGTGGCCAGCAGTTGTGCACCCTCTTGGGAAGCCAGCGTTGCCTGTAGCATGTTCACCCCTTTACATGGTGAAGTGAGTCGATGGAAACAACGGTGGAATGAAGGAAGACTAAAGGCCACACACAAATTATCTGATAAATTCTGCAAGAATTACTGAGACGCTCTTGTCTTAGCTGCCTAATGGCCTAATGTACATGCCGTGTCGGAGTTCCATGTAGATGCATGTTTTTTGCTTGATTCTTCTCACCGAAGCACCAGCATGGAGTGTCTCTCATGCGGCACTTCCACCAACATGTGTTCCCCATTGTTCCTAGCATCGCATGATGTTCAAAACAACTGATCGTGTCTAATTGAGTAGAGCTGCAAGTTGCAGCTATTGTGGATGAACTTGAGGTTTGGATAAGCTTCGTGCAAGCTCTGCAGGATTTGCCGATATTCTTGCAGGTTCTCATCCAAAGCGTCTCCATGCACGTGGCTGCCTCAGTAGCCAAGCCCCGAGAGTACGGGGACACAATGGAAACACATGAACTAACACTATGGACTCCATGGACCTGCTGCGGTTCTTTTGTGCTCTTGATTGACCGACGGACCGATTGTACCGATTCGATTCAGAAGAACAGTAAGCCCCGACTGGGTAGTGAACTCGTTGAAAAAGAAGGTGGGCGGCTCCTGGAAGTACAGTCCCGATGTTGCGGGAAAAAGGTGCTCGGCAAAACCTCCAAACAAACTCTCCAGCATCACAGGACGCGGATTGATCCATGTGTCCTTCATCATCAGATTATGGTCTTTGGCAAGTTCCTCCTTTGGTGGATCTGAGTCTTACAGTACTGACTCAATATAAAAACACGCGCATGTCTCACGCGTGTCCTTTGTCCATTTAATCACCTGACTGAGCGTCCTCACTAATCTGCCGTCCTCACACCACGACGAAACCAGCAAACCCACCAGGCCCCAGGGGCAGGTCATGCCACCGTGACCCAAATGGTCGGAGCAAAAGTGGACGCCCACCCGGACCACGTCAAAGGCATCCACAACGGCGTCGAAACGGTCCAAGCTCCGAAAGGGTGCCAGTCCTGACCAGAACACCACGCCACGGGCTCCCTGGGTTTTAGTGTTTGGATCTGTTTTGGAATCACCACATAAAAATGAACAAGTGCAGTGGAACATAGTGGAACAATTCTTAAACATCAAAATGGAACCAACACAAATTGTCATGCTTCACGCCCTCCCCGCTGCTCCTTCTTTCAGGTCTTTCCTCACATGATCCCTGATCTCTGCTCCCTCCACATAGTTCTTGGCCACTCGCAGCCCATGCTTCGCATAGAAGTGGGCAATGGAGGTGGTGCCACATCCTGAAGGCCCTGCCTGCAAGATTCTGGGTCTTGCAGAGCGTGCCAACGGACTCTGAAGGGCAAAGCTCTTCTGCAAAGTACGGAGGAGCCTGAGTGGACTCTGCGCTCTCCAACGCGCAGGTGGACTGGGCCTGTTGGAGGGTCGAGACTCGAGACCCACATCATTCCAATCCACACCCTTTTTTGTTCCAACCTGGGAATAACAACTCGAGTCCTCTCACTTGCATCAACCACGACGCAAAAGTGGACTGCTTTGTTTGAAAGAAAAGCGTTCTTCATCGCTCTTCCACAAGTAGGGGCCCAAAGGTCTTCAGAATATAGACACTGTGGCATTATGCCCAGTCTGGGTCCAAACTCAAACCTCTGCTGGCCAGTCAAGTCCACAAAGAAACAACCACACACAAAAAACAGCACAACATACCAGCAGCACCTTCGAAAAGGGGCGAGTTATAGATCCCCTCAGCAATGTGTCCGTTCATGTGTCGTCTGAGGAACTTACATCAATTACCTTCTACATCTACAAAACATAAGCTGTTTTATAGCTTTTTGGAGGTACCGGTGCCGATCTGTGTGCATCAAAGCGTGCTCCATGTTCACAAGTGTCACCCAGGCGCAGCCGATCGCTGCCCAGCAGTGCGCAGGCACTGCCCAGGGCCTCCGGAGCACACTGCAAGAGCCAGCCGCACACCGAGTGGCAGGCGGTGCCGCGGAACCACTTGGGCATCATGTTGAAGGGGCCTCGTGGGAGGTTGAACTTGCATGCAGCTTCTGGCGCATTCTGGCATCAACCGCATCGCCACAATCCGATGGGTCGGTGGGTGTGACATCTTTCGCAATGCCAAGCACAAACACACACTCTGACACTTGTATTCCCTTAACGCAAGTTCACGATGGGAAGGAAGGTGATGGAACGGCAAGGTG